TTTTTTTTTTTTGCAGAACCAGGGATTGAACTCAGACCCTTGCGCTTGCCAGGGAAGCACTTAATCCACTGAGCCATCTCCCCGGCCCCTTTTTTTTTTTTTTTTTTTCAGAACCGGGGATTTAACTCAGGACCTTGTGCTTGCCAGGCAAGCACCTATTCTACTGAGTTAACTCCCCAGCCCCTACAAAGTAACATTAAAACAGAAAAATTACAAATGATACACAATTTCACTAAACAAAATAATGTGAATTTCACAGTATTTATTGTATTGCATAGTGTGGTCTTCAAATTTGTTGTTCATATTACCAGATCTATGAAAGCAAAATTGGAAGAAAAAAAGAAAAACAATACATAAGGGAGAAAAAAGAAAAAGAACTGAAATAGAACAAATTAAAGACTGAGGGGTGGGGGAGATGGCTCAGTGGAATAAGCACACAAGGACCTGAGCTCAATCCCCAGTTCCGAAAAAAAAAAAAAAATTGACTTCTCCTTTCCATCGACCAGCAAAAATCCACAGTACAGTTGTCCAAACCATTCTGCTTACATACTTAGATACATCTTTGCCCCCCCACTTCCTCTCCTGTCCTCAACTCAGTAACTCCTTCCTTTTGAACGGGTTCATTCTCGTTTCCCAGTATGATGTCTCACTTTAACGGCGCTACTTTTAACAGCTTTCTGCAACAACTGACTCTAAAACAGCAAAGTTTTGCACTGCGATGGGTTATGATACTCAGCACAGTAAACAGGGTGAGCAAGCGAATGAATCGATGGAAGGCGGATGAATAACAGGACTCTAGTTAGAAAAGGAGTTCCAAAAGTCAAGTTCTAGAAGTTGGGAGTGCTTTCAAAGACTTCCTCTGTGCTCAAGAGTGCTGAGAAGCCGGTAGTTCAGAGGGCACATGACTTTTTCTCAGTGAACGTGGCGACTTGTGCTACCCAAAAGCACGCAGCTTGTAGCTCAGCCGCGCCTCTGGCTCCGTTGCCATAGCTACAGATAAAGCCGCGCGTCGGGCGGGGATTGGGTGATTACGTCATTCCCAATGCGACGTACCGCCTGGCCTCCCGCCTCTTTTTCGTGTGAGACCCTCGGCAGTCCGGCTGGCGCTGCACCTGCGCGCCGTTTCCCCACTTGCCTCTCAGCCCTGATCTGCGCTTGCGCGGTGCCTGCCGGGGAGCGCGGGTAGCAGTGAGGCGCATGCGCAGTGTGGGTCCTGCTGCTTTGGTGTCGCCGCCGTTGCTGCTGCAGCCGTTGCCGCCTCCCTGCTGGCAAGTGTGTGAAGGAGCCGAGGGTTGCTGCCGGCGCCATGGGGGTGAGTTAGGCAGGGAGAGGAGACGGGAGGCTCACGGGCGCTTTTTGTTATTCTTGCCTCCTTCGTCCCTATTGTTCCTCGAGCGCCCCTCACGTGACCCCGATCCCCTCTGGCCTCACGTGACCCTTGGCCCCCACATGACCCTCCTCCCCCATTCCGAGAGACCCCCACATTCGGCCTAACTCATTTACACCCATGGAGTCCTTTTTCCGGAATCCCTCTCCTGTCCCCTCCCCCACCCTTAGCGTCGCACTGGCCGGTTCCCGCCTCACGGACACTCCGCGCGTCCCCACGCTCGGCCCCCGTGGTTCCCCGGATCACTGTCACCTGTCTGTTACAAACCCCGTGGTGTCCCGCCTTCAGGCCAACCTAGTTTGGAGGGAACTGAGTCCCGGGTAAAGAGGACGCCAGTACAAGGTCACTCAGACTTCATCAGGGGAGCCAGACCCCCGCTTCGTTGTTGAGTATCAGGCGGCTGCGCTGCCCTACTCAGGTGGCGCCGGTTATCCTACAAACTTAAAATCTCTTCCAGGCTCTTTCTCCTGATACGTAAAACCTAGTCTTTCTTCCTCCAGAGGCCTGCCTTCTTTGCCCCTGGTTGCAATGAAGTGGTTCTTGTTAGTTTTAGCACTGCACATGGCTTTGTGAGGGGAAAGCTATACAGGTGAAAAAGGAAGATTGGGGCAGGGGCCTGGCCGCTGTTTGGTGCTGGCAGCATAGAGGTGCTCTGGCATGTGCACATATAGATTTGGGCAGAAGCAATTTCATGTGTGCTCGTTCACTTTACTAAATTCCAACTTGAGAAGTACCATTCATCCTCCTAGAAAGATAACTGGCCCTACTATACATATTTGTATTTATGGGGAATTTCCACCACCTTTAGGGGACCCCTGACTTTGAGCCACAGATACGTCAGATACCTCCATCTTCGCTTGCTAGCATCATGATATTTGCCAGTGATGTGGCCTTTCTGGACTTGAATTTCTCATCTATGTAATGGGGATGATGTACCTCCCTCTTAGAGTAGTAGCGAATATTAAATGAGATAATGGATGTAAACAGTCAATCAGGTGCTTTCTGAGTCATGGGTATTATTTCTGTCTGTATTCTCAGCTTTTACTTTAGTGATGTAAAAATAGATCTGTGCTGCTTTTAACTCTGGGTTCGTTCTTACTGTTACAAACCCAGATCCCCCCCCCCATCTATATGGACTGAATAAATAAACTTGTTAGAAATAATTGTCTAACCCATGTCAAAATACTTCAATATGTCAGACAAACATTTAGGGCCTTGGGATGTATCTCAGTAGTAGAGTGTGTGCTTAGTGTATGGGAGGACTTGAGTATAGTCTCCAGGACCACCTCCCCCCACTCCCGCTTAAAAAATAAATACAAAAAACCCCCCACATTTGTTGTTCCAACCAGGAATTTTGGAGCCTGAGTACTTGATACAGAGAATCAAGTCTAAATCAGTCTTTTTTTCTTTTTTTGGTCTTTTTGAGACAGGATCTTGCCTGTTCGGGCTGGCCTTGAGCTCACTTTGTAGCCCAGAATGGTCTTAAACTTGCAGTGATCCTCCTGCCTTGGCTTTCCAAGTGCTGGGATTACAGGCATGTGCCACCATGCAAGACCCATGTCAGTCATTTTTAATGTAGGTTTCTGTGAAAGAAACAAACCTCAGCTGTTTAAATGAAACCTGTCTTCAGTGTCACTAAGTAACCATTTATTTGGTCAGTCATTGCAGACCCAGCCCCAAACAAGAAGCATAACATGCCATTCTGGATCAACATTTCCTCATTGGTTGAGTTGAAATAATGGGCCCCAGAGATAACTTGTAACCTGCTTCCATTGGTACCAGTCTTATACTTTATAGATGTGTTTCTCAGAACAGCCCCTACAAAATACCTTGTTGCATAAAACAAGCAACAGAGTCTTGAATTATCTTTCTTGAATCAGGGCTGAACCTTGTCATTACCCTTGTTGCTCATCAGTGGAAAATATGGAACGCTTATCTAGATGGCTGGAAGTCATCATTCCTAGGGGTCAGTGAGGCAGAGGGCCCTCCTCCTGAGCTCATGCTGAGAGGGTAGCATCAGATGTGTCACTTTCACTTCAAAACTCTTTCACCCCAACTGCTATAACTGCTATATATGTGTTGTCTTTGAGGAGTTGTTAAGTTTTTGTCTCTTTATCAAAAACAAGTTCTTAGGGCCTGCCAAGTAGCTCAGTGGATTAAAGTGCCTGCAAGCAGGCACAGGGGGAGGAGATTCCATCCCCTGGGACTGCCATGCCAGCCCCGCCCCTGGGGGCACTCTGATTGGAGATGGGGTGTGGTGTGCGCCTGTAATCCCAGCTCTTGGGAGGCTGTAAACAGGTGGATCACTACGAGTCTGATCTAGTAGTGAGACCCTGAACACCCTGTAGACCCTTCCCTAAAATACAAAACAAAACAAAAAATAAGTTCTTAGTACTACTACCCTGTGGAGTGAAGGCATTGACACTGGAGATCTAAGAGATGTCAAATGCTTTTTGTAGATGGTACCTCCTAGCATTCAGATTTTTTTTTTTTTCATTTTTGTGACCCCTTTCAGTCAAATTGTGCGTAGAGTTACACCTTTGACAGGAATAGTAAGGTTTGATATTTAATAGCAGATTTTTAGAAGTATTTGAAGAGGTGTAGTGGAGAGAACATGCAGGACTTCACAGTTCAAACCTAGATTAGAATCTTGGATGATTCATTCAGCAGACAAAAACAGAGTATCGGGGCAGGGGAGATGGCTCAGTGGAATAAGTGCTTCCCTGGCAAGCGCAAGGGCCTGAGTTCAATCCCTGGTTCCACCAAAACAAACAAACAAAACAAAACAGTATTTTTTGTTTGCTGAGCAAAATATTCATGAGCAAATAAAGCGGATACAGGGGGCTTGCAAGTTAGCTCAGATGTTTTTTATTTATTTTTTGCGGTATCAGGGATTGAACTCAGGACCAGGCAAGCGCTTATTCTACTGAGCTAATCTCCTTGACCCCTACCTCAGTTGTTTAAAGCGCTTTCTTCAGTAAACTCAGGCAGGCTCGGGGTCTGTGGTTCAATCCCCAGCTCCACAAGCCCCACCAGACCCACCCTTAAAGCAGCCTGAGCTAGCCAAAAAAATTAATAAGTGAAAAATAAAACAGATACAGCCTCCTCTTCGTGGAGTTCAGAGTCCAGTGTAGGGAAGGATGTGTGAAGACCTCTGAGAACTCTCACTGACTTTGTGACCCTAAAAGTTACTCAGCTTCCTGTGCCTCAGGTTTTTCATCAAAGAAGCGGGTAGGGCTGGAGATGTAGCTCAGCGGTACTGCGCCTGCCTGGCAAATGTAAGTTTGATTCCTGGTATCAAAAAAGAAAAAAAAAAAAAAAACCAAAGAAGCCCCTTAAGAAAAGGAAGCGAGGGGCCAGGGAGATGGCTTAGTGGAATAAGTGTTTCCCTGGCAAGTGCAAGGGACTGAGTTCAATCCCTGGTTCCACCAAAAAAAGAAGAAGAAAAGGAAGTGAACATATGTATGGGGGCTGAATTGTAACAATCACTCTTTTTTTGTCTTTTTGAGGCAGGGTCTCACTCTGCAGTTCAGACTGGCCTTGAGCTCACTTTGTAGCTCAGGCTGGCCTTGAACCTGCAGCAATCCTCCTTCCTCAGCCTCCCCAGTACCGGGATTACAGGCAAGATCTTTTTGAAAGCATTAGCACTAATAGGTCCTCACAAACAAAAATTGTGTGTGGTGGTTCATACGTATAACCCCAGCCCTGAAGAGACTGAAGCAAGAGGCTCCCTAAGGGTCAGAAACTAGCCTGAACTACATAGCAAGCCTCTGTCTCACAACAAAAACAAAAAAGTTGTTTCCATTAACTTTTTTTTTTTCTCCTATATTTTAGGGAAGGGTCTACAGGGTGTTCAGGTCTACAGGGTGTTCACTAGATTGGACTCACAGTGATTCCCCCGTTTACAGCCCCCCAAGTGCTGGGATTACTGGCAGCACCACCATGCCCAGTCTCGTTTGCCTTCTCAGCATGCCCTGGGGGTGGTGCCGGCACAGCAGGCCTGGGGATCGAACCCACAGCCCCTGTGCTTGCTTGCAGGTGCTTTAATCCGCTGAGTTGTTTGACCAGCCCTCCATGAAGTTTTATATGTAGTATGTTGTACATTTTTGTCCTTACAACATCTCTTGACTATATGTATGGTTAGCCTTTTTTTTTGTTTTTTTTTTTGTGGTACTAGGATTGAACTTTATATCTGCTAAGGAAATGCTTTACCACTGAGCTACATTCCAGTCCTAGCTCCATTTCATGAATGAAGATACTGAAGTTCAGGCAAACCTGAACCTAAGTTGCCCCCCAAAAAAATATGTATATATATAGATAGATATAGATATATTGCCCAAAAGATTTTAAGTAACTTCCCAGAAGTTGCACAGCTATTAAATGAAAGAGCTGAGAATCAAATCCAGGTCTCTTGACTCAAAAGCCCATGCTCTTTTTATTATATAAAGCTCCCTTGGGAAAGACACTTAGCCACAATGAGTTTTGCTATTCACTGTGCTTATTTCCCATTTTAATTAGGAGAGCTTTCCTGTATCCCTACAGGACAGCCTTACCTCCATAAGGCAGAGGCAAAGCTAATTGGAACAGTAGGAAACCACTTTTTGTAGTGGTTGCTGAGTTTGAGGGAGATCCCCTGCTTGTCTCACTCAGCCTGCTGCAACTTTTCTCTTACCCCCTACACTATCTAGGCGGCAAAGTGCTTAAGGGGTGCATTCATTATTTCAAATCTCATGCCATAGCAGCCCCAGGCCTCAGTCAGAGGGTTCTCTGGCTTGCCAGATCACCTGCATGAGTGAACCCATAAATCTCCAGGAGGCCTAGGCTAGCCCTCCTGCTGCTTGTGCTACTTTTTGTGTTTAAAAATGAGATACTGTGAATGGAACCCGTGCTGTCTGGGTCCTAGGAGTCTCACTTGTCTTTTAGTT